TCTCTCTCTCTCTCTCTCTCTCTCTCTCTCTCTCTCTCTCTCTCTCGTTGAGGTTTATGGGGTGACTATGGTGGAAAGCCTCTTTTCTGAGTCGTTCTGTGGCTCAGTCCCAAACAACCAGCCCCTTTCCAGAATAGTTCCTGATTCCACCCTCAGATGGCTCACTCAGGAATGGGCGTGATGTGCAAATTTCACATCAAAAACAACTTCATCTTTCTCTTTGCAGATATTCTCCCACTGCTCTCGCCTTAGCCATCTCTGAGGTGGATGATAACCAAATCAGCAAATTTAGTTTTTATACAAAAGAAGCTATCCTGAAGGTAAACTATCCCTTTTAAAAGAACCTACAGTAAAACAAGCAGTTTGGGGGGTAGAAATCAGTATTTATTTTATGTACATTTGGCTTCCTTTTATAAGAAAAGTTTATGTCCTTAAAAATAATGTTGCCCTTGCCTTAGGGATGTGCATGCTGGCCTGGTTTGAACTATAGAGACTGGAACAGCACATACATTGACTTCTGTTGGACATGAAGAAGGAGCACATGGAGTGCGCTGTCTTTGTAGCAGGCTTTTAAACTGCTCACTTGTTATTGGAGCTTTTCACTGTCTTTTTAAGCCTGGCACTATTTCTTTATTGTGATCATCCTCACTCTCTTGTCACTGGGACAAACTCGATACCCACTTTAAGGAAGAAAGGCCCACAGTCAGCTGGCCCCAAGACTGGAAGGACGTGGTGGGGGATCTGCAGGAGGAGGGCTGCTCACGTCATGGCCACCAGGAAGTGCAGGGTGAAGGGAGGAGCTGGGGAGAGAGACGCCGCCATCCGGGTCCTGCCCCCTGAGATCAGCCTGCTCCACACAGACCCTGCCTCCTAGCAGCACACTCAGTGATGGCCCCTAGGGCGGGCCAGTGTGTGGATAAGTGTGGCACTCCTGATCCAGTCAACCTGCAAAAGCCCTAACTGGATCAAAACATCCTGCTACCTGGATATATATACTGGCTTATAAGAGCCTGCTAAAAAGTCCACATAGTTCACCAGAGCCTACCTCTCCTTTCCTGACCACTGAGGAACCTCATAGGGTCCAACTACACAGCAGTTCAGGCCTGGAGGCTGCTGCTTGAAATGAGGTGCTGCCCAGGGACAGACCAGATTTGGCTTATCAGCTGAGAGGCGAGGAACCCAGCTCATCTCGCACTTAAATTAACATTCATATTTACATGTTGAATAAATGATGATCTCAACCTTCAAATTACCTCTGTCTTTATGGGAGCAGTTCCTAATGTCTTTTACATCTTCTCTCTTTAGCTCTTGTCGCATTCAGGAGTGGAAAATATGCAAGTGACTCTTGCATGCCAAGCTGCTCAGAAAAATGCTTTGATGGTGGCTGTTCAGCAGGCATCCTTCTACCACACCCCGCAAGCAAGCCGTCCTCCTGATGTCAAGGTCAGTCTGGGAGATACAGAGGAACGGGCGCTGCCACCCTCCTTCTTGTCCTCCCTTCCTCCCTCCCTCCCTTCCTTCTCCACTTCTCCTTTTGCCTCTTCCTCCTTCTCTCCTTCTCCCTCCTTCCTTCCTTTTCCCTCTTTCCTTCTTTCTTCTTCCTTCCTACCTGTGTAGGAAAAAAATTCAGTCTCAGCTTCTCACACTCTGTATTCCAAGACAGACAACTTCTGGGTGCCCACAAGGTGTGAGGATTTCTTTCCACCAGCAAGCAGATGATTAGTTCAGCAGAAGATAATACTTGAATCCTTTAATTCTTTCATTTCTGACACCGCCCACCCAGAAATAGCATCAGATCCCACAGGTTGCTGGCTCAGTCCCTAAGACTGTTTCCACTTCAGACCTAGTCCCTGTCCCTGTGTCAAGAACTTCTGGCCAACTGGCTACAAATTAGCTACACCCTCCTCTTCAAGTTCAGTTAATTTGCGAGAGCAACTCACAGAACTCTCAGCAATACTCCCTTTAGAATGTTGGCCAGCTTATTGTAAAGGGTATTTTTAAGGTACAAATAAGCAGCCAGATAAGGAGATGTCTATGAAGTGGTCAGGTCTGGAAGGGTCTTTAGCACAGGAGCTTTTGTCTCATGGAGCATGGAGGTGCCATCCTCAATGACCGGTGGATGAATTCTTCACGTTCCTGTCAGCCTCCACATGCTCAGCTATTCTGAAGCTCTCCTAACCCCGTCCTTTGGATTTTCATGGAGACTGCATTACACAGGCCTGATTGAAACATGGAAAATTGTATGGAAATGTGATTAGACTGAAAAGGGTCTGATCTAATTCATTAGCATTGAGCGGGGAGACCAGTACGGCTGTCCAGATTCCTCCACACTGGGCATGGGCAGGCCCCCTCCTGAGCAAGGCATGTCAGAGAATTTAGGATTGGATGCTTTCCCTGAGGAAAAGAAATTCCAGTGTCCATGGCCTGCCTTGGGAGGAAAAAAAAAAAAAAAAGAAGTGCAAGATCAGGAAAGGATGAAGGCTACAGAGAGACAGACAGACAGACAGACAGACTGACAGACACAGACAGACAAAAGAAAGGGCAAGTCTGCTGAGGCCTAAAGTGCCCAGTATTATTCTAGTCACCTAGGAAATGACAAGGACTATGAAGGTTGTAAGTCAGCAACCATGAAGGGAAACAAAAAAAATGTACATCATGCTTTTCCCCTTCCTTCCTTCCTTCCTTCCTTCCTTCCTTCCTTCCTTCCTTCCTTCTTTTGCTCCCCTACATCTTTCCTATCTGAGAATCAGTACATGACCAAATCCTTATTTGATCTCTTAGTTTGCACCACTATACTAATAAATTTTCTTTTGATGTAGCTTTATATAGTGAATGGCTAGAACAATCCAGCAGAAAATATCCTCTTCCTCAACCCCTGCTCTTTGTAGATAAATGACTCCAATTTTTTATGGTTTATCCATCCTATAAATCTTTTTGCAAAAGGAAGAAGACATGTTCAGGGCTGGGGTTATAGCTCAGTGGCATAAACACCTGGCTGGCGAGCACAAGGTCTTAAGTTTGATACCCAGTAACAACAACAAAAGAAGACATGTTCAATTCTTTCTTCCACAAAAGCTATCTTGTTATACATGCTCTTTATTTTCTTAAATTTTAAAAAATATATATGTTTTTTTTTATTTGATACAGGCTCAGACTCATAGTGATCTTCCTGTCTCAGCCTACCCAGCACTGAGATTACAGGCATGTGCCACCATACCAGGTTTTGATGGCTGGTATGGCACACCCAGGATTCCAGGGCTGGCACAGCATGTGGTACTGAGGATTGAACTCAGATCCTTGTGCTTGCCAAGCAGGTGCTTAGGCCACTGAGCTATCTCCCCAGCCCATGCTCTTTATTTTTATTACTGAAATATAATTCATATAACATAAGATACACTCATTTAGAGGGTCTAATTCAGTATTTTTAGTGTATTCACTGGATTATCAGCTATCACCACTATGTGCTATTATTATTTTTATTTATTATTATTTTATTTTATTTTTGCGGAACTGGGGATTGAACTCAGGCCCTTGCGCTTTGCCAGGCAAGCACTTATTCTACTGAGCTATCTCCCCAACCCTATCACCACTATGTAATTCCAAAATATTTTCATCATTCCCATAAGAAATCCTGCATCCATCAGTAGCTGTTCCTCATTCCTCCCTGCCTGGATCCCTAGCAAACACTGATCTATTTTCTGTCTCTAGGTTTCAACATTTCACATAAGTGGGATTATGCAACATGTGGCCTTTTGTGTGGAACTTTTTTCATTTAGCATAACATTTTCAAAGTTTATGTTATAGTATGTAACGGTACTCTATTCCTTTTTATTGCAAAATTGTAACCCATTATGTAAATATATTATTTTTTAATCCTTTAATCAGTTGATGTATGCTGTTTTCCTTTGTTTTTTGTTTGTTTGTTTGTTTGTTTTTTACTTTTTGGCTATCAAGAATAATGATGCTGCAAACATCAATTTATAGGCTTCCTTAAGGACGTGTATTTTCAATTTATAATTTACACCTACTATTTTAACTTTGGCTTTGATTTGCAGTTATGAATTTCTAAGACAATGGCCATATTTTTATGTGTTAATTTAGCCCTTTATATACCTTCTTTAAGAAAATGTCTGTTGACAGCTGTCTTTTTATAAAATTAGGTGGCAACCTAATACGATAGCATATGCCTGTAATCCCAGCACTTGAGAGGCTGAGGAAGGAGGATTGCCACAAGTTTGAGGTCAGACTGGGTTACAAAGTGAGTTTGAAGCCAGCCTGAACTGCAAAACAAGAACTTGTCTCAGAAAAAGTCAAAAATTAAAACAAAATAAAATTGGGTGGCATTCTCTGCATAAGCTTGGGGTAAAGCAAAGAGTGAGTTGGTAGAAAAGTTGAAGATTCTCATCAGGTTGCTTCTCCATGTTGTACCCTTCAAACTTAGCTGATCGTGGCTACCATCCTTCCCTCCAGCCTCAGAGTGAGTGCTGCTCGGCCCAGCCCAGTGCAGTACTCCCACCAATGTTCCAGACTCATTTGACCCCTTCTCTTTTGAAACCTCACTTGATGGCTCTCTTCTCTCTTTGCTACACTTTCAGCTTTTCCTTCTATTTCCTCTTTCCATTTGTGGGTACTTTCCCCTTTCCACTTGTGACAGGCTGAGAGGTTCTCATTCTCTCCAAAAGCTAGTCTGAGTCCTCTGGCCAGTACCTCCAGTGTGACCTTTAGTTCTCATTCATGTTTATTGAAAGAATAGTTTATAACTCTTCGTATCCTATCACCTTTTCTAGCTTCCTCATTTACCACACCCCTGTGACTGCTCCCCACTAAGGTTAGCAATGACCCTCCTGATTATTAAACCCAGAGAATACATTCAGTCATTTGCCCAGAGTTCTTTCTGCCATTTAATGCCACCAACCACTCCCTTGTCCTTGAAAGCCTCTGCTCTCCCATTACATGTCTCGTGGGTAATTTTATCACTCCCTGAGATTTAAAACCTCCAATACACTATCAACTTTCAAATCCACATCTTTTCATAGAGACTCTTTCCCAAACCCTAAACCTGGGCATCCAAATGCCTCCTAGACTACTTTTAGATATCCCATAGACACTTCAATTCAGTGTGTCCTAAGGACAACTCGTTCTCCTTCCATCTTGTTCTCCCAAGATTTCTATTATTTTGCCACATGTAAGAGTTATTTGTACTGAAAAACCTGAGTGTTGTCCTCAATTCCTTTGGCTTCCTGACCCTGGACTAATGAATCAGTCACTGCATCTTGCCAATACCTCACTCTAAAGTTGATTGTGCATGGCCCTGTCATAGCTATTTTCTCATCACTAAGACACAATGCCCAACACCCACAACTTAAGGAAAAAGGTTTATTTTGGCTCATAGTGTGTAGAGATCCCAGTCCACAGTCGGCCGGCTCCAGGACGGCCTGGCAGAGGGGGGCTGGTAGGGGAAAAGAGCTTCAGGATGACATGACTGGAAGCAGAGTGTTGGATCCAGGAGGAGGGAGGCAACAGAACCTCCCAGGTCATACCCAGCAACCACCTCCTTCCACTGGGCTCCGCCTCCCAACTGCACATTGGCTATGAACTCATTAGTGGACCAGTCCATGGGTAAGTAACACGCTCTCATGACCCAGTCACCTCCCCCAAACCACACCTATGAATGCATGAGGCGTTGGGGTCATCTACATATAAACTGTAACAGACCCCTTGTCTCCCTCCATGCCACTCTTGTTCAAATTCTTGCCATCTATCTCACTTATGTGATTGGAATGGCCTTTGTCACTCTAAGTTCGTGCTTTGCACCACTATATCCACTGCCAGTAAAATCTTCCCTCCTCCACATAATGACCATAGCAACTATGTCTCCTTGATTAAAATCCTTCAGTGGCTCTATGTAGCCCAAGCAGCAAAATTCAATCTCTTTAGCTAGGATGCAAGGACTTTACTTCCCAAATCTAGCTTGCTGTCCTCTTTCTTCCACTCAAATGAAAAAGTTATTACATCTTCCAGAAAATAACCACAACACTTAATTTTGGCTGAAATGAATTCTGTGATGAGTTCTTCATAAAATAGTACACTGTGTATAAAAAACATAGATGATTGATGGGTAAATGATAGCTCGTCTTACAAGTGTGGAACAAGAGGAAGGGTGGTAACCTGCAGGGAACCATGATGAAGATTGTGAAAGAAGATAAGGGGGGGGGGGGGGGGGGGTGATGAAGATTGTGAAAGAAGATAAGAGGGGGGGGGGAGGGAGGGAAGAAATCAAGAACAAGAGTATGCATTGCCACCAAAGCCAGAAGAAGACAGTGTTGCAAGAAGGAATGAGTCCAAATGAGGAGCTAGGGAGGGGAGCAGAGGGAAAGAAAGAAGGGAAAAAAAAATCAGGAAAGAACAAAAAAATGGAAACAGCGTTGGGAGCCACTGAAGCT